TTGACTTAGAATGGGCATTTTAAGGGTTTTCAGGAACAGCTGCAAGAATTGCCTATCTAGTTCAGTTTTTGCTGCTTTACTAATGTTTAACAGAAAGCATTACAAGCACTACATTTGAATTTCTATTTAATTTTCCACGTGAGGTTGATGCTAGGGTGGGAGCAGTGAGCAGGAGGGGTGGGGAATAAAAGTGGAAAGGTAAACTGAAGCTAGATGATGCTAAACATCATATGGCATTCTAAGGTTTTGATTCTATTCTCTTCAAAAAGCTTCAAGCAGGAAAGTAACATGCCCAGATTTTCATATTAGATAAATAGTTTTGTGGGAATGCAGAGGATGGATGAAAAGGTGGATGATGGGTTAAATTTGGACAAATGAGAGATAACAGAACTACAATAGTGGTAGCAAGGACAGAAATCTACTGACCTATTTCTACTTCGGGAGTCTCCTTGGCAACTTTATCTCAATATGTAGAAAACAAAACTCATTTTTCTTTTAAATTGACCCCTTGCAATTCAATGTTTTGGGACATGATTGTATTATTTGCCTAATAGTTCAAACCAAAAATTTCAGAGTCAATCATACTTGTATTTTTATTTTCAAAATCTAATTAAATACTATTATCCTGTGGTTTCTAATTCCTTGATATCTCCCAAATCCATTTGCTTTTTTCACCTTCCCCCACTATATCCTACTTTATTATCATTCTCAGTGTTTTGTTTTGTTTCATTTTTGACAAAGAGTCTCACTACGTAGTCTGGGCTCTTGAACTGCCTGTGCAGCCCAGGCTTGCCTCAAACTGTTGGCAATCCTCAGCATCTAAGAGCTAGGATTATAGGTGGGCACCACACCAGGATTCCACCATCATTTCTGCCATAGATCCATGGAACTATCTCCTAATTAACGTGGTGCATATGCTGTTGCTCTTGGAACTTCCTTCTACACTTTGCTTCTAGATTGATCTTCCTAACTCACTATCAAACATGTCAACTTTTAGACATCCTCAGTGGCTTCTCATTTGTTCCTAGAATAAAGTATACAATCTTCAACAGGGTTACAGCCCCTCTGAAATCTGGATCCTGCCTAATAACAGTCAAGAATACCTAAAATTACTGAGCAATTCATTTGTGCTATGTGTTACAAGCATTATTTCATTTTATTCTCCCAGAAACATTGTGATGCAGTCACTATTAACATCATCCTGTTATTGCACATTTGGAAACTGAGACAAGGAAAGATTATGTAAATTATTCACAGTTGCATAACTAGTAAAATATTTGACCACACTTGTCTGATTGCACGGTACGTGCCCTTAAACTTTCATATCATGGTCACTGTTTCCTTCAACCATATTGAGCCATTCCAGTCCCTAAAATTCATTTGTTCTTTCTCACAATGAGGCCTTCATATATACTCTCCCCTATGTCTAAATAATATTTATTCATTAAGTCTCTGCTTAAATCAATGCCTGGAGAAGTACTGATTTATTATCTAAATTAATATCTAAGATAATATAAATATTATCTTTCTTTATTATCTAAAATTAATGTTTTATTCATTTTCTACTTTATGGTCTATCTCCCTCCAGTAGAGTATCATAATTGTTATCACTGGTCCTCAGTTCTTAGTATGCGATTCACTAAGGGTTCACTTAACATTTGTTGGAGAAATACATACATGATGTGGGGGGTAAAAACTCCTTAAAATGGAAATTTCATTTATCTAGACTGAAGAGAAACAGAAAGAAGGTAAAGATAAATTTGGTTATCCAATGAATATTTACTTTGCTTTCAGGTTCCAGGCACTATTCTTGAGAACTTATAGCCCTCCTGGGGGAGACAGACACATAAAAATGCAATTATAGCACAATATACATAATGGTGGGAGGAATAAAGTACATTACATGCAGAAATTAAAGACGTGTGTCTATAGGAAATCTTCACAGTAGAAGAAATTGTTGAAAATTTTGCAAGATGAATGAGTCTTAAAATATATTTCACAACAGCCGACGTATTTTACTTGTAAAAGGGGAGAATAAACATCCATTACCTACCCAGGCACTTTATATCCATCCCATTTAATTCTCACAATAGTTCTGTTCTTATTCCCATATTATAGAAGAGAAAGTCCAAACTAATAAAGGTCAAGCAGCCCGTCCAAGATTACAGTAGTACAGTAACGAAGGAGTAGAGTTTGGGCCCAGGTCTGAGTCCAGTGCCCATTTACTAACCATTTATATTGTAATCCTTTGACTCAGTACTTTCTAGAACCTGTTTGTTTTCTTCTTCTTCTTCTTCTTCTTCTTCTTCTTCTTCTTCTTCTTCTTCTTCTTCTTTTTTTAAAAAATATACTTAGTACAGAGTCTACAGAGTCTATAGGGTCTCACTATGTAGATCAGACTCTAGGTGATCCTCCTGTTTTCAGCCTCCCAAGCATGGGAATTACAGGTGCACCACCACACCCAGTCTCAATCGCCGTCTCAGTGTGCCCTGGGGGTGGGGCTGGCATGGCTTGTGGTGCAATGGAACCCTGGCCCCTGTGCTCTGCCTAAGCAGGCTCTTTAGTCCACTGAGCTGCCTGGTTGGTCCTCATTTCTATTTTCAATACAACGCTTAACAAAATTGCTTACATAGTTTCCCACCTTAATATAAATAAGCAACAAAATAAAAGGTCAGGAAGAGACCAAAGTATACTAATAGCAAGGGAAAAGAGAGAAAAACTATAAAAAATTGGACGCAGGATTCAAAGCACATGTTTTACAAAATTCTATACATTCTGCAACAGTACTAGATGTGCATTATAAAAAAAAAACGGGTTGTTATAGACTACATTCTATGAGACAAAAATAACTTACTGTACTAAAAACAGTTAATTTTAGATATCTAGGAAATTAATTCTTCTCTGCTAAAATAAGTAGTAATAATTGTTTCCAAAGTGTAAGAAAAAATATCCCCGTATCTTAACAGTTTTCATTTTATGGATAGGATGGCTTTTTTTTGATGCTTCAAATTAAGTTCAAGCCAGTACAGAAAAACTGCCATCCTTAGCTTATATATCCAACTAAATTATACATTTTAAAAATTTGAGCAGGACCTGGTGGCACATGCCTGTAATCTCAGCACTCAGAAGGGTGAATGAAGCAGGAGTATCACTGTGAGGTTGAGGCCAGTGTGGACTACAAAGTGAGTTCAAGGCCAGTATGATCTACATAGTGAGATCTTGTCTCGTAAAACAGAGAGAGAGAGAGAGAGAGAGAGAGAGAGAGAGAGAGAGAGAGAGAGAGAGAGAGAGAGA